ACCGTAGGAACTCCTCGTCCAAGGAGCGCCGCACCTCCTCCAAGGAGCGCCGGGCCCCGTCCAAGGAGCGCATGCTCTTCGCCGCCACCTTCTGCGCGCCCAAGGGGATGGCGACGCGCGCCCCGCCGGCCTGGAAGAGCCTGCCGGCCACCCCGGAGGCCTACGCGCCCACCCCCAGGGGCTGCTTCCCGTCCACCTCCCAGTTCCAGCCGGCCTCGTCTGACGCCTTCAAGGGGCCCCCCGCCATCCCGGAGCTGCCCAGGTCGCTGCCGCTGGCCCCCAAGGATCCCTTTGCCTATGCCGAGGCCCTGCCTGCCGTGCCCTGGGTCCCCCAGCCCAATCTGAATGCCCCCAGCGGGTCCAAGGCGGAGCCCACCATGCTGATGGCCACGGCGGCGGCCCCCCAGGCCATGGCCTTCCCGCAGGAGGGTTCCAAGACCCCCGACGAGCCCCCCCGGCGCCCCGGGGGCAAAGCCACCCGGAAGAAGAAACATCTGAACACCGAGGAGGACGACGACTACTACGGAGAAGACAACGGCGGCCGCGGCGGCCGCGGGCTGGCCATGCGCAACTGGCAGCCCCCGCGTCGCTGGGCCAACATGAACTATAATGACTGGGAGGTTCTGGGGAACTGGGAGGACCCCATTTCTGCCGCCCGCGATCTGAGTGGCTGGGAGGGCCCCAGTACCTCCAGGATCCTGAGTGGCTGGGAGGGGCCGAGCACTTCTTGGGCCCTGAGCGCCTGGGAGGGGCCGGGCACCTCGAGGGCCCTGGGCGCGTGGGAAAACCCGGGGAACCCCCACTCTCTGATGCTTTCTGAGCTCTCTGGCATGCCCCTGGGGGTGGGGACCAGCCAGGATGAGCCCAAGGGGGAGGCGGGGCCCGTGTCCCCCCTAGATGAGAGAGCCAACGCCTTGGTGCAGTTCCTCCTGGTCAAGGACGGAGGCAACGTGCCCATCAGGCGGTCCGAGATGGTGAAGTTCATCATCCGGGAGTACAAGGACGAGTCCCTAGAGATCATCAAGCGTGCCAACCACAAGCTCGAGTGTGTCTTTGGGTATCAGCTGAAGGAGATCGACCCCCAGACCCACTCTTACATTATCATCAATAAGTTCGGGGGCGGGCCCGTGGCCTCGCCACCCCCCTGCCTGGAGATCCCCAAGCTGGGCCTCCTGATGGCGGTCCTGAGCCTCATCTTTATCAAAGGCAATTGCATCCGGGAAGACCTGCTCTACAGCTTCCTGGAGAAGCTGGGGCTGGATGTCCGGGGGGAGCATGGTCTCCTAGGGAATGTCAAGAAGCTCATCACCGAGGAGTTTGTCAGGCAGAAGTACCTAGAGTACAGGGAGGTCCCCAACACCCAGCCCACTGAGTACGAGTTCCTCTGGGGCCCCCGGGCCTTCATGGAGATCAGCAAGATGCTGGTGCTCAAATTCCTGGCCAAACTCCATAACAAGGATCCGGAATGCTGGCCGTTCCACTACTTCGAGGCCCTGGCCGAGTGCGAGTCCGATGATGAGTGGGATTACGAGGAGCTGGGGCCCTACTACGGTCGGGCCGGGGGTCGCTTCCGCAGGTCCCGTCCCCGCTAAGTCGGAAACTTAGCCGCTCTCTCTGTTCCTTCGTGTCCCCCCGGGGCCAAGAGCCACTCACAGGGTCGTCGTGCGTGTGCGTGCGCGTGTGTGTATCGTGCAGGGTCGGGGGTGGGGGGGAGGGGGTTGTGTCGTTACGTTTACTGGTGTTTCTGTTCCAATCCTACCTATGTGTACACTTGGATCTCAGACCTGGTTCCTGTAATCTGCCAAAGCTTTGTATACATCCTCACGTGCTGTTGACTTTCAAGTGGCTACTGTTCTCCTGGGTACCTCTTGGCACTTGTGTACTTCAGTGAGTTGTGTGTGATTCTCTCTCTCGCTCTCTCGTTTTTTCGTGTTCGACTCGTTCCTGTGGCTGTACCCGGAGTTGTGCTGGCTTTGTGAAATGAATTGAGACGCAGCCATCCATCTCACCCTGGTGCAAAAAAAACAAAACTCTGTAGTGTTGAAAGTAGGCTGTTCTTTGACGTGTAAAAACATGACTCATCCGTCACGCTGTCTGCAGAGAAATAAATATCTATATCTATATCTATATAAATATACTTTCAGCATAACACAGAGGAGTTTGTCTTCATTCTCGTTTTTTTACTCGCCAGGGCGGGAGCCAAGTTGTGTGTGTGCATGTGTGTTTCCCCCCTCCCCTCTGAATACACCAGAACATAAACACGACGACGAGAGACTTGGGGTACATTCTTCCTAAAAACGCAAGGGTTTTAATGGGGCTTGGGGGGGGAGGGGTTGGGGGGCGGTGGAACATAAGATTGACATCAAACCAAGAGTCCAGACTTCACAAAACCCCTCACAGTGGGCGTTATTTCTTCCCATTGTAGGCGAGTGTTTAAATGCAGGTAGATCCATTCAATGACACAGGCCGGGGCCAGGTCAAAAAGGTGGGCATTCGAAGCCCATTTTCTTGAGGTTATGTGGGTAAGGGGGGCCCTCCACCTTACCTTAGGGTGTCTAGTAGCTCGGGGCGGGGGGGACTTGGGTTGTATCATCACACGGATATTGGGGTGGAAACATGCAAAATATCCAGGCTTCTAATAGGAAAGAGGAAACAACAGCCTTCAACCAATGAGGGGGCCTATATATTGGGGGTGATGGTGGAGGGGAAGGGGATCCTAGGGTTAAGGGGCTCAACCCTAACATGCAGGGGACGTCAGCTGCCAATATCGGAGTCCTGGGGTGCAGGGACTGGTGAGGGAGGGGTCACAAGGGACCAGTATACCATCCTGGGTGTTTTGGGGGAAAGATATTCACGCCTGTACCGGGCTGATGTATAGAAAACTTTCTTGGGGTCATTCTCTCTTCAAGAGGACGGGGGTCATCAGTGTTGCCGCCACCCCTACTGTCCTATAAGGATCAAAGCCCCCCAACCCTAATCCACCTATCCCCCCATCTCTGGGTAAAGATGAAGTCCCAGGTAGGCGGTCCTGGTGATGGTGGAATTCGCCTGCCACCTAGCGGTCGACCCTGGTTCTGTCACTCCGGCAGCTGCCGGGTGTACAACGTCACCCTCCGCCCCCCGCCCCCCCAAACACCTGGGTTGTGGCTACTACTTGCCTCATCACCTTTGCCCAAAGCTTTCCCGCCCAAACATTCCTTATTTCCTCTTCTGTCATAGCACAAGGTAAAACCTCTTCTCCACACTTTCTAGGACCATGGGCCTGGCTACAGGGGGGGTCTTCGGCAAGTTGTCCACGTGACCAGGGGTCCCTGAAATGTGGGGGCAGGTGTGTGTGGGTTTTTTTTTGTAAACATGCTGGGTCATGAAGTAGCACAGCGTTTCTGCCCCCAAAGCAATAGTCAGTTATTGGGGGACCAGCAACTGCCATGGAAGGCAGCTGAGAATGAACCCCCAAAGAGGGTTTGCTGGCTCCAGTCTTTCTTGTTTGTTTCTGCTTCATGCATTATTGTTTCTCTAGTTTCCTCTACATCATTCACTCATGGGTGGGTGGCTGGAGCAAGATGGTCTTTGGGTGTCGCCGGTTCGACTCCTGGTCAGGGCACTTGCCCGGGTTGTGGGCTCGATCCCCAATGGGAGGCGTGGAGGAGGCAGCTGATGGTTGTTTTGATCTCACATCAATGTTTCTCTCTCTCTCTCTCTCTCTCTCTCTCAAAATATTTTTTTTAAAAAGGATGTTCTTTGTGTATCAACATTGGAAAGTAGCATCAGATGACACTTGTGATTTATAATTCATCTAAAGCAACCATCATATAGAAAATGGAATGAAGACCCACTTTTCACGGAAACCCCCCCAAATACGTAGTGTCTGGTGGAATGCCGTGGCTGAGCCCCAGACTACGGAACTCATGGCCTTCCCATCACGACATTTGAGAACTTTTTTGTATCCGACTGTAAGGAGAGGCAAATTACAATAATGATGAATTTTTAAGTACAAATAAATTAGCCGGATATGCTCCTGAAAAGTGTAAGAAAAGAGGGAAGATATTACGAAAGCAGGGGCAGAAAACAACATCTGAGGACAGATAGGGTGAGAAGCGGTAAGAACAATTTCAAGACCCAATTATTCGAAAGCACTAAAGTGTAGATAAATGTAACGCAAGGCTTTTTATCGTAAGATGGAGAAAAGAATAGAGTCCCGGAAATCAAATGGGGAAAAGTATTAAATGACAAAGAAAAAAGAAGTATAAACAGGAACTAACTCTGAAAACTGCTGCACCTCTCTAATATCCCAAGACAGAAACATCAGGCCAGTATTCCTGTTTTCATGTCTTAAATTGGCATCGAATAAAATGAAGGCCCGTGGAACACCTAATATACATAAAGTCATGCAAGTGGCATCCTTAGGCGCTACGCACGGAAGTGCAAAGTACTACAACCTTCCCTGAGGTAAAGTCAGCTGACTGCGTCTTTGAGGTGTTTAACGATATGAAAGCTCTTCTACTCAGAAACTCATATGGGACTAGAGCAAATGGAAATAACCTTCCGTGGGAGCAAAGATTTCTTCACAAAAACATGCTTATCGGGGTGGGAGATATTAAGTAGAATATGTACCTTCCCCCCCCCCCTAAACCCCCCGCAATAGAGCCAGTCATACTAACATCAAGTTGGGCTAATGAGTTTTCTTCTGAAAAGACAAAGATTTCCCCAGAAAACAACTTGCCATTGGCTCCAACGCTAAATGACATTCTGGGAGATCAGAAACATGACCACATGTGCCTGAAAAATATTTTTTTTAATGTATTTTGATTGATTTCAGAGAGGAAGGAAGAGAGAGAGAGAGAACATCGACGATGAGAGAGAATCATGGATCGGCTGCCTCCTGCACGCCCCACACTGGGGACCAAGCCCGCAACCCGGGCCTGTGCCCTGACCGGGAATTGAACCATGACCTCCTGGTTCATAGGTGGACGCTCAACCACTGAGCCACACCAGCCGGGCCTGAAAAAATTTTTAAGTGGGGGCCAGTAGACTCCCATCAAAGCCGTAACATTATCTCAACAAAAGCCATTTCCCATGACGCTGTCTCACTCCTGGGGAAAGAGAAATTTAAAAATATTTCTCCAAGTGACCAAATTCAGGATGTTTAGGTACAAGCTGTGTAGGACGTTCCGTTACAAGCGAGTGGCTATCTTAGGATATTTCTCTAAAAGGGATGATCCGATGTGGGGGGATAATTTCTACTCTGAGCGATGCTTCCGGAGAGCAATCAAGATGTGGGCTAGTGCCCGGCGGCCGTCGCTCAGTAGTTGAGCGTTGACCTACGAACCGGGAGGTCCCTGGTTCGATTCCTGCTCAAGGCACATGCCCCAGGGTGGGGCCTGCAAGAGGCAGCTGATCAGCGATCCTCTCTCATCATCAACGTTTCTCTCTCTCCCTCTCTGAAATCAATAAAAATATATTAAAAAAATTTTTTTAAAAGATGCAGGCCAGTTACTTGTCAAAGTCATATATAAAGAAAGCAACACGGGAATTGATGGTTGAAGCTGTGATGGATGATGGAGCATTCTTCAGGGTCCCTGTGGCCTCCAGGGGGCACGCAGTCCACTTGTTCTTCATTTCCCTTCACACCCACAACTGTACCACATGGCTCACCCACGGCTCTAAGACTTGAAAGGCTAGGGCGCCCTCTGCTGGGAAGTTCTAGCAACTCTTCGAGTTCCCACATAAAAGGTTGTCACCGTTAGAGAGGACCCCCCCCCTCCCCTTTCTTAACTTTTTTCTTGTCCCCAACCCACCAAGGGGTAGGGGCACAGAAAAGAAATGGTTGGCACAACAGGCACGGCCTCTCTGGATAGAATCTCCATGAGAAGGAGGACTTCGAGCAGATGTATTTGGAGAGCCCAGGTTTGGGGTTCCCTTTCTTTCTGCCAAACCCTTCCGGAAGGTTCTCAGGGTGAATCCCAGGAAGGGACAGTAGAACACTACTAGCTATATTCTCGCTGGTGAGCTGTCTGCCCATCCTCTTGGCCCCTTTTCTAAATGATACGTTTTTATTTCATAATGTGGGTTTCCGGGACGTCTTTCACCTGGATTTCCGTCTTCGTGAGACAGGGAAAGCTTGCAGGTGGCTTTTCCTCGTCGTAACGGGGCCTTTCATGCAGCAGTTTTCCATTTTGATGATGTTTAATTCGTGGATTTATTTTCTTTGTATGAATCACCCTCTTGATTTCATATCTAAATATCTTCCATCGGATCTTTAAGTCCTAAAGATTTTCTCCTAGTTTTATTCTAAACGTTTAGGAGTTTGGGGGTTTTGTTTGCTTGCTTGTTTTTAGTGCTTTTGTACTTTATACTTAAATCTGTAATCCATTTTGAGCTTATTCTGATTACAAGTGTAGAAGATTTATTTCTCCCTGTGTTTTTGCACCTTCGTCAAAGATCCGCTGGCTGCACTTGTGTGAGCTATTTCTGAGCTCTCTAGTCTGTCTCCTGGATGTATGTATCTATCCACCAACACTACCATCTTCACTACTGTAGCTACACAGTAAGCCTTGAAATTAAGCACAGTGATTTATTCTTTCTTTCCAAATGATGTTTGCTATTCTAGATCCTTGGACATGCCACATAAATATTTAAAAATATTTCTTTACTGATTCCAGAGAGGAAGGGAGAGGGAGAGAGAGATAGACACTTCAAGGATGAGAATCATTGATTAGCTGCCTCTTGCACACCCCATCCTGGGGATCCAGCCCGCAACCCGGGAACCTAACAGCGACCTCCTAGTTCATGGGTTGATGCTCAACCACTGAGCCATACCAGCCAGGCATCCGTTGATTTTCTTTTTCAAGGAATTAATTACCAATACAGATCTGCTCCAAGACTGGGGAGTTTCTGCCACATATAAGCAGTGCCGTTTAGTGGAAACTCCGAAGGGAAGATACCAGCCGGCCCCTTAAGATGATGCAAGAATGGGTGTTGTTTCTTAAACTGTTAGGAGAAGCCAGATTCGGCGTCAGCCCCTGCCTCATGGCTCTGGGCAAAGTCCTGACTCGTGTCTCAAATTCCACATCAGAAGACAGGGAGTTTGGCCTTGGTCTTTGATCTCTTCCTCTTCCTATCTTTTACCCCGTGGGAGGCTCAACCACCTCCC